AGTTCTAAATAGGTTTACCGTAAAAAGTACAACTCTAACGACATAGTGTAACGTATTAAAGCGTATCTAGTTGCTTAAGGCTTTACTCAAGTTCTGGGTGTTGACTACATGTACACATTCAACTCTGTCGTTAACGCTGCCACGGTTTGAATTCTTTTTTCTTTAGCTGCCATGCACAAATAGCCTTGACACAAGCTGGATGTGAACAATTCCTTTTTTAAACAAACAACTTACAGACGAAGTTTTTGTGGAACAACCTTCAGGATTTTCTAATCAATGATTTCCAAACCATGTTTGTTGTGTCATCCCCAAATTCGCGATCATTTTAAAATTTTTATTTATGCTTAATTGAAAATCAGAGTATTCATTTTTAAAGAATAATATTGCGGAATTTGTTCCCAGAAAATATGATAAATATATTATCAAAGCATTTCCGAAGAAATGTATTTTGTTTATAATAAAACTTTGGGATGTCATTGTCAATACATAAACATAAGCATAAACAGACATTTCATTCATTTACACTAGTGATCTACATCTCCTTTAATCTCTCAGTGTAATGTAGCTTCGTATCGACACCTGTGATACAAATAAAGTGAGTGGGTCAGGTTGGGAAACCTGGTGAGTACATAAGGTTTTCAACTGAGTACATAGGGTTTTCAACCCACAATAATAAAGTGATTATGTTTCATCATCACACAATTAACCCAATTACCCATCCCTGTTATCTTCTTTATTTCTTAAGGATCTATCTTAAAAATCATCTATCATTCACTCATTCATTCCTAAGGATTCTTCTAAGGAATAGGTACGAAGTCCATCGTTGCCTATGACACAGCTGCCAATGTTATCTATTAGGCATAGCTGCCAATATTATCATTTAGGCGCAACTGTCAGGATTATCACGTTCTCTATTAGGTGCAGCTGCCGATATTATCATTTAGGCGCAACTTCCAGAATTATGATGTTCTCTATTAGGCTCAGCTGCCGATATTATCTTTTAGGCGCAACTACAAGGATTATGATGTTCTCTATTAGGTTCAGCTGCCGATATTATCCTTTAGGCGCAGCTGCTAGGATGTTTAGAGTACATCGTAGTTCAAAAACATCTACAGGTTTTGGCGCAGCTGCCAATATTCATCCATATCATCTTTCACCCCTCATCATTCATCTACCCATGTTCTACCCAACATATTTGTAGATATAAAATATATATACAGTTTAAATCATTTAAAACATGTATAAATTGTTCATCCAGCATAGATATCAGGAACACAAATAATATGCACACATATCACGTAATTTATATTAAATACTTCATATCTATATGTAAGATGAAAGTAACTATGGACTCACTTGTTAAAGTGATGATTCCAAACTCGGGCAACGCTTCGCTTCTAACGATTCTATTTTCCTTCGACGAAACCTAGTATCGTTATTACTAGAGTTTAGTCTAATATTTATAGCGACTATTTACGAGCGATATTGTTTTATAAGTGTTAAACAATACTTTTCAACAACTATGTACAAACAAGGGCCAGACATGAAACACCGGAGAGCAGGAAATTTTTGGCATTATAGCACTTCTGAAATCCAACAACCCTATGCGGCCTTTCAAACTAGATTCCTCGTACCGCGAGTAGTTAAAAGATATTATAATAACACTTTGTATATTATATTTTATAATATATTTATTGTTTATAAGTTCATAATAATGATATTGAACTTAAACATAAGCTATACTTGAAGTAGGGTAAGCATAACTCACTTACCAGGAGGCTTGGCTAGAAACCGAGTTCTGCTGGGGCAGAACTTCCGAGCCAAAAAGCTCTTTTTCTCGGAGCCTTCTGGCGCTCCGGGGGCTTTCCTCTAGCACTTAGAAGTTACTAGAGGTTGGGAGGGGTTTAGAGAGAAGTTAGAGAGAGAGAGAAAGAGAGAGAGAGAGAAGGGTTGAGGTGTGAGGAAAATGAGTGAGCCTTGCATGGTATTTATAGGCTGAAAAATGTCTCAACTCAGCGAGTTCTGAGCCTCCAACTCTTCGAGTTGGTGTGCCACATGTCACTATCTGGTGGCAAGGCGTGGGGAGAAAGCAATGGCTCAGATCGTGCCACGTCACCCCCATCGCAACAGCACCCTTCCGACTTCTAAATTCCGTAACTTTCGCATACGAGCTCCGTTTTCAATGTTTTTTATATCCACACGTAGCTTTGACAAGATCTACAACTCTCCTTTTGACTCCATCATCTAATTCTCGACCGATTTTAAATTTAACAGTATGAGAAGATTACACTGTTTAATGACCGTGTAAAATTCATAACTTCTACATACGAACTCCATTTTCGACTGTCTTTTTTATCGTTGAGCTCCTATTAATGAGATATTCAATTATCATTTAGGTCGTGTCAGCTAAAAATCGATCGATCTAAAATTCAAATTCCGGACTGCATACTGCTATGCCAAATCTTAGAAAAATCATAACTTCCTCATATGAAGTCAGATTTGGACTTCTTTTTATGTACGTTCTCAGTTTAACATATACTACGAATTTTATTTAGATCCCTAAGGATAACAAGTAATTTATCAAAAAATCACTTTTTACGATTCCCGGTGTCGTGCCGGTTTTGCCGTAAAACTTCGACGGGTCATACCTTCTTTGTTATAACTCGGATTTCAGCGTGCTTTATATGTACGAAACCCTTGTGACATATACTATAAGTTGGTTAAGATTATTTACTCTAAATAATCTTCTATCAAAAAGTCATTTTTGACACTTATTGTCTCTAAATTGACTAGCCTGAATCTGCGGGCATTACATTTGTCGTCTAAAAAAAGGCTCTATACGAATTAAATCAAGCATCCCGCGCTTGGTTCCAATAGTTAAGTTCATTTATCATTAGTCTTAGTTTTATTTACAGTATAGTAGGTACTTCTTTATTTATTTTTAAACAACAATTGCATGTACAATACTTATTATTTTATGTCACCGATATAATACTTACTGAGAGTGATTCTCATCTCATTCGTAAATTTATTTCCATGCTCCATGCGGAATTTGCGATAAAAGAACTAGGTCGGATGAACTAAGTCTTAGGTCTTTAAGTTTCTTATATGGAAGATGGCAATGGTTTGTTTCTCACTCATGCTAAGTATGCTCATGCCATACTTAAGGGTAGCAATTGATGACACAACACGAAACGAAATTGAGACGAAACTGAAATTTGAATTCGTGTTCGTTTCGTTTTCGTTTCAAGTGTAAAAAACACGATGTCGTGTCGTGTCGTGTTCGTGTTCAAAATTCGACTTGAAATTGACACGATTTAGTATTTGTTTGTCGTATTTTTCGTGCTTGTCGTATTATATATGATTAAGTATTAATTAAACAAACTAACTTTTATTTTATGTTATCTTTGTCGTGTCGTGTCGTGTTTGTCGTTTTTTAATTAGTTCGTTTTCGTGTTATTTAAAAAAAATGAATTCTTGTCATGTCGTGTCGTGTTAGACAAAAACAGGACACGATGACCCGATTTGCCACCCCTAGACATACTTACCTATTCCGACTTGCTTGATGTCAAACCAACGCCTACTTTTCTATCAACTACCAAGTATCTTCTTCCACATGACTCTCGTTATTCTGATCCCACTATGCACCGATCCCTTATAGGTGTACTACATCATCCAGATTTGTCAGATGATGTAAAAGAAATCAGTCAATTTCTTCATGCTCTTATAATTGATCATTATATCAAGTTGTAAAACGAATCTTACGGTATATGAAAGGCACTCTAACCTATGACCTTCATTTCAATTATCCACAATCATCATTGTACGCCTTTCTACTTATGGCTACTCTATATTCCTGGGCGACAATCTAGTTTCGTGGAGTGACAAGAAGCAACCACCATCTCCCGATCTAATTGTGAATCCGAACATCGCGCCATGGCTAACAATACTGTTGAAATCATTTGGATAACTCAGTTACTCCGCAAATTGCATGATCTACCTTCGGATCACCCAAATTTACTTTGTGACAACAATAGTGCTCTTTATCTCTCTCTCTCTCTCTCTCTCTCTCAAAATCCAATATCACACAAACACGCTAAGTGTATTGACATAGATTACCATTTTGTTCGAGAATTGGTTGCTGCTGGTCAGTTGTATATACGTTTCGTGCCAACCTCTTTGCAGCTCGCATACATTTTCACCAAGAGTCGTCCGCGTCATGTATTTGAGGAATTTCGTGCTAAGCTACACGTTGTGTCGCCACCACTTTGCTTGAAGGGGGTATTAGAGATAAGATTTTCTAATATGTGCAATTATGAAAAATATTACCATAATAAAATATTAAATGTATTTATTACGAAGATTATTAATACATTTCATATTTAATTATGACAATATTCCTTATAATTAAGGTATTTTAAATTTAATTATTATAATATTTCTCATAATTAATATTTTTTATATGTGTCTATGGCACATATTAGAAAATCCCAGTAGTGATATTAGACATAAGATCCCAAAGAATCTTATTCAATTTTAAATTATTGTTGTATCCATGTATTTTAGGACTTGATCATTTCTATTCCATGTATTTTAGGACTTGATCATTTCTATTTATGTATTATATTATTACTCAATGCACAAATATATCGTGGTGATTTACCTAAATCTTATAAATTAATTTCATTGATAGACAGAAGAACATAGAAAATTTTCGTTTATTTCTAAGACGGAAACATATATTTTTTTTATATAAACCTGTTTCGAGATTGTCAAGCTTTAATATCATCGTACAAAACGAACATCTACGAATCATTCTTTTTTCCATACGATATTTCTTGTTGCCTTATTGTCTCGTCGTTCGCCTCTAAGAAGAACAAAAAAAGTTGGCGACAACTGTAACTTCTTGTTCAGTGAAGAACATATGCAAAGTTTCCCAAAACATTTCGAGTATATATATAGGCGAAATCGTTCAAACAAACTCAATCCACTTTCTCAATATGGCTGCCTTCCACTTTGCATTGGTACTACTAACTCTGCTTTCGGTACAATTCTCCGAAGCTTCTCGTCTTAGTCTCTTTGCATCGACTAAGGATGCACAAGTAGCCGATAGCACGAAATGGGCAGTTCTTGTTGCCGGTTCAAATGGGTACTCCAATTATCGCCATCAGGTGCGTCATTAGTTTACTTAGCTTTTTGTTTACTAGGTAATTTTGCTTGTAATAAAGTTGACTAATAACATTAAAATTTTCATTGATCAATGTAGGCGGATGTTTGTCATGCATATCAAATACTGAAAAGGGGTGGTTTGAAAGACGAGAATATTATCGTGTTCATGTATGATGACATTGCGAATAACACGATGAATCCAAGGCCTGGTGTCATAATTAATAGTCCCAACGGCTCAGATGTTTATGCTGGTGTGCCAAAGGTATGATAACTAGCTCAATAAAACTTGAAAAGCGTTGCAAAAGGTGTTAGTCGTCATAAGTGATCATCACTTGATTTATCGAAGTTTTATACTCATTCCAGGATTACACCGGAGATTACGTGACAGCAGCCAATTTCTATGCTGTGCTTCTGGGCAATTCCTCGGGATTAACAGGTGGAAGCGGGAAAGTTGTAGCAAGTAAACCCGGAGATAAGATCTTTGTGTATTTCACCGATCATGGTGGCCCTGGACTCCTCTGTAAGCGTTTCCACAATTTGCTTATATATATGTTTTTGAACATTGAATTATTAATAGTATCATTACTAACACAACTCTTTTGGTTTATGTACATAGGTATGCCGAACTTGCCTTATATTTACGCAAATGATTTCATTGAGGTTTTGAAAACAAAGCATGCGAGTGGAACATACGATGAGATGGTAACATCCTGCATTTTCTTCTAACGTTATAGATGATATTAAACAGTCAGGATGAATTTAATCGTTTGTGTGTTAAAATATAGGTGTTATACGTGGAAGCATGTGAAAGTGGAAGTATTTTTGAAGGCCTGTTGCCAGAAGATTTGAATATCTATGTTACAACAGCATCGAACGCAAATGAAAGTAGTTGGGGTACATATTGCCCTGGCTCGGTACCTCCTCCGCCTCCGGAGTTTAACACTTGCTTAGGTGACTTATACAGTATCTCATGGATGGAAGACAGGTACTTTTTTAATCCTTCTAGCTTTAGCAACACTTTTGCAACAGTATCACCATCACATTGATTTGATATGTCGTTCCATATGGTTACTAACTGTCCTTTGTATCGTGTTCTCTTAGTGACGTGGAAGATTTGAATACTGAAACGTTAGAAGAACAATACTTGAAGGTTGGTATTAGGGTTTATTACTTCATTCAATTCAGAAGTCTTTTAAGCGTGTCAAGAAAGGTAGAATTCTTTACGGCTTATTTGCTATCGAAAATTGCATAAAATGTTTGTAGGTAAAGGCAAGGACTTTAAATAACAACACCGGACAGGGATCTCATGTGATGCAATATGGTACACAACTCATAAGCAATGAGACTGTTTCGGTTTATCAAGGTGCTGGGACTTGGAACTTCACCTCGAATACGTTCCAATCAATAGGCTCCATGGGCGTGGTTGAGCAAAGAGCTGCAGACATATATTCAATGTGGAAAATGGTATGTGCACTAAACTTGGTTATTTCTTGGGGATTAAGCACTCCAAAACAAGTTGCCCCAAGTTTGTATACCACAGTCTTCGCGACACTTTAATTAATGCCTTTCCTAGTAACAAATTGACATAATTTCATATTCTACAGTACGAGAGATCAACACTAGAACCACAACAGAAGATTGAACTACTCAAGGAAATCAAGGAAATAACAACGCATAGGGCACATTTGGACAGCACTATTGAATCGATCAAAGGAGAGTTACTAGACCAAGAATACCTAACGGAGAGACGTCCAGGATCAGTCCTAGTGGACGATTGGGATTGTCTTAAATCCATGGTGAACATAAAAACTCGATATTTTTGGTTCATTTTACAACCATTTTTCTTTGTTCTATACGTTGGTTCTTAACTTTTTGAACGTTTGATTGATTAATTCAGATTCGAACATTTGAGACATACTGTGGATCGCTAACTCAATATGGCGTGAAACATACAAGAACATTTGCTAACATGTGCAACAATGGTGTTACGAAGGATGCCATGGATGAAGCTTCAAAGGGAAGATGTGGGTCTTATAGCTTGGGGAAGTGGAATCCTGCGACTGCTGGTTATAGTGCCTAATCGATATATAGAATGGAATATGGAATAATGGTGAATATAACTATATTAGTAAAAAACGATAACCAAATCATGATATCACATGTGGTGGTCGTTATGTCCTATCTATCTATGTAATTTTGAATTTTGAGTGTACTTCTAAACATAAATGGGCATAAATTTTTTTTGAAGATAAAATTTGATAGAAACGTCATGCCACTACTACAAAAAAAATCCAAATATTGGACGGTCATTGACGGAGATAGTAGGGGCTGATGGATGCTTTGCCACCCTCAATCACCTTTAAAACTTCAAACTATATTATAGAATAGATAGATTATAGATAAATAATGAGTCCAATTATTAATTTGATGCCCACGTCTTTTTTTTTTTTTTTTTTTTTTTTTTTTTTTTTTTTTTGTGATGCCAAGCCCCCCTCAACCTTTTAAAATTTCAATTAATATAAAGAAAAGTAATGAGGCTATACTATCACTAAAATTCACGCCCAAACTATAATTTATTTGACTTCACTCTATTTATTTCAATTACCAATTGATCTCTCATTTGCTTTAGTTTGCTTCGTTAATCCGGTATATTAAGTAACTCTTTTATTTTCATTGGTAATAGTTATTTCAATTTAACAATATAATATGTGACTCCTATTTGTACGATTATTTTTTAGTGATTTTTGTCTCTAAAGGTTTCTATATCAAAAGTTAGTGAGTTTTTTCGTGGCTAATTTATTTGAAAAATAAAGTATTAAAAAGCATAGGACAATACACAAAAAATCACATTTTTATACATAGTCTTGTTTACAAGCTTAACCACAAATCTTCATATTTCCTTACTTCAACATGTAAAACCATAAAAATTATTCAATGCAACATTACTCTTAACATTTTTGTCTATATCACAATTATAGTAAAGCATTTAATACGCGCAACAAGCTAAGAGTCATTTGATGGATTGCCAGTATGGCTACAAAATTTTCTCATGAATTCAACAATATGCTATTCAAAGTTGTGTTTGTCTTCTTTGCCTCTACTCTTTTTTCCGATACAAGACATTGGTTTGTGTATATGTCTCTTTTGTTGGATTAGTGTCTAAGCCCGTAATTATATTTGGTAAGTACTTGACCCGGTTGTGCATGATCCTTTTGGGTTGTCTTCACCATAACAATTTGACAGGGTAATTTATGAAGAGAGAGAAGGTATTATGGTTTATTAATATATTATAAGAATAATATATTAAAGGAGAAATCATATTATTTGATTAATATTAATCATAAATTAATTAGGAATTAATTTGGTGACTAAAAGAGATTAATTGAATAAAGGGGACTTAAACTGTCAAATGTTTGATAGTTGTATTTTGGGTTGGGAAACCTAATGGATTAAGGGGTGAACGAAATTATGATGGGAGCCCATCATATTTTCGTCCATGGCCTTATTCCAGAAGGTTCCATGGGCTGCTTAATGTTTAAGCTGTCTATTAGGGTTTTGACTGAAACCCTAGCTGCTCACAGCATAAATAGAACCCTTAGGCTACAGAAATCGGCCACTGCTTCTCTAAGAACCCTAGAGCCGATTTTGTGTGCCTCCTCCCTCTCTCATATACTACCCTCTTGCTAGTTGATGTTTGTAAGCCATTAGAGGAGTTACACTTGTGACTCTAAGCAACAAAGACAAGAAGATTCAAGCAAGCAACAAGAGGTAATCTTCTAGATCTGCTTTGGTCATTATAATTTCGAAATATTATCACTAGATCTAGGGTTAGAAAGTCTTGGATGAATGCATGTATAATAGAGAAATCTAGATCCGAGAATTAGGGTTTGCATGTGCACATAGGAATGTTCTTGTGGCTCAAACCCATCAGTGGTATCAGAGCTTTGATTGGTTTCAATTGTATTTGATGCTAATATGTTCATTCATTGCTTAATTTGAAAATCGTTTTCTGAAAATACCCAGCTCACGACGTGACTCTCTGAGTTCACGACGTGAGCCCAGTCTGTTAGACAGACTCGACGAGTGCAGTTAGCTACTCGACGAGTCTATAGATCAGATGGCTCAAAACTCGTTTTTTTTGGCTGTTTTTGTGTTTGGATAATTACCAAAATTGTTTTTGGATAATAAAATCCGAATTTTATATATTTGCTATGATTATCCTTACCAAATTAAAAGATAATTACCATTTATTTGAATAATACATTAATTATGTGATAACATTTGATTATTTAATTTATTTGGTGAATTATCTTGTAAATAATCTGGATTAAGTCAAATTTAGATAATCATTAAATTAATTGTTTAATTTAAAATTATTTGCTATTTGATCCTTTGTGTTTTGAAAAGGTTCAAAACTTGTCCTCAAGTTTTGAAATTTAAAATTTGTGATTAAAATGTTTAATTTAAACTATTTAAATTTCAAACCCTAGAATTTTACAAGTTTAAAATTCAACCTTATACTTTATAATATTATAAGATTAAATATATATATATATATATATATATATATATATATATATATATATATATATATATATATATATATATATATATATATATAACTTACAATGCTAGTCTTACCGTTAGTAGGCCTCATTCACGAAGCCGATCTATAAGGGGGGGTATACGGTTATGGCCTATAAAATGGCCATTTAGTGGGTGTCCACTCTCACCCACCGCTTCCTTGATTGGTGGAGGGTCGTTAGCCGAACGGGTAGGATAGGGAAAACCTTTCCTCATTAAAAGTATAATGAATCCATATAAAGTAACTAAATGTTTTTACAAAATTCCCAATCTTAGTTACTTTAGGAAAAAGTGAATTGATGCAATTCCATGAAATTACACTTTGTACCCTTGCTAAGACGTTAGTGGAGCGTGTGTGGTTAACCGACACACTAATTGGGTTCTAAGAAAAGGTGGCAAAGGGTGACTCATTGTTTTCATAGTTCGATGGAGCGTGTGTGGTTAACCGACACATCGAATAGGTGACTGTAACAATGAGGGCACCATGTATATTTGCATGGTTATTCACACCCGCTTTGTGATCCTCGGCATCCCAGTCACAAACTAGAGGGGCATATTGAGATTTAAACATGCCATTGAAAAGTTCAATGAATCTCAAAAGATCTAGGAGTTTTCAATACATTTAAAACTTAATCTCCTTTTCCGTTTTTCATGGTGGAGAATTAGTGAATCGTCATTCACTTACCTTCAAATTATTTACTTGTTAGATTACGACATCCCTCTTCTAATATGTAAATAATGTTGTTGGATCCTAGCCCTAATTTCTCATTTGGGTGTTTAATTAGGGATTCATTTCTAATCAAACTTTGTTCTTTTCCTTTTCAGATGTCGAACATGAACAACAACAACGCTTCCGGATTGAATTCCTCCAGCTAATTCTCACTCATGAACTTGTGTGGGAGGGTGATATTTGACCGAAACAATTTCAATGATTGGATCCGTAACATAAGAATGGTCACCCGTTACGAGGACAAAGAGTATGTACTTGACAAGGAGCTGAAGGAGATCAACCGATGAGATCGCTGCCTTTGAGGCCCATGAGCGTGATGCCACGAAAGTCCATTGCATCATGCTAGCGACCATGACTGCAGAACTCCAAAATTCCTATGAGGACATGTATCCCTATGAAATGCGTCAAGACTTGCTGGACCGGTACCAACAAAGTGCAAGGCAAGAAAGGTATGAGATCATCACTTCGATGATCACTGCCAAAATGGGTAATGGAGACTCCCTTACCGCTCATCTGCAAAAGATGCAGAGATATGTTGATCGCATGCTGAAATTAAATGTTAATTTCGATGAAGAGCTGGCAATTGACATCATCTTTTACTCCTTACCTCCCTGCTACAACCAGTTCCGCATGACCTACCACATGAATAAGCAAGAGGTCACCTTGAGCAAGCTTCAAGGCTTGCTAAGGACTTCTGAGAACAATCTCAAGGATAAGTCTGTTGCACCGACTCCCACTCCTACTGCTGCGCCTGTCTTGGCAATAGGTCAAGGGAAGGGTAAGAAGAGGAAGGCTCCCTCAAAGAGCCACCACAAGGGAAAGTCCCAAGATGGCACCTCTTCTAGTGGAACCAAAGTTGGTTCTGCTAAACCCATCTCAAACCCTAAGGAGGCAGAGTGCCACCACTGCCACAAGATAGGGCATTGGAAGAGAAGCTGCCCAGAATATCTGCAAGCCATCAAGGATGGGAAGATCAAGCCATCTTACGTAGGTATTTACACAATTAAATCTAATGATTCATCACATTCCATTTCTTGGGTACTTGATACAGGATGTGGTTTTCACATTTGTTCTGATTTGCAGGGACTAAGAAGAGATAGGGATGTGGAGCATGGTAAGATAAATTTGATCATGGGGAACAGAAGATCGTCGCCTGTTACCAAGATTGGAGTTTACTCTTTAATGCTCAATAGTGGATTAGGATTAGATTTAAACAATTGTTGCTATTCTCCAGATATGGCAAGAAACATCATTTCATTTCATGGTTTATATAGACAAGGTTTTAGATATTCATTTGATAATGAAAAGGGTTATATTAATGCTTATCTTAATGGTGTCTTTTATTTTGAAGCATTGCCTTGTAATGGAATATATGAAACTGTGATGGTTGTAGATAACTTAGGAAATGATGTGTTGTGTTTTGATTTATCCAATGATTTGGATAAATCATGCTTGTGGCATTGTCATCTTGGATATGTCAACAAGAAACACATAGCCCAACTCCAAAAGGACGAAGTGTTGGAGTCATTTGACCTTAGGGACGATGACGTGTGCGAATCTTGGTTACTTGGAAATATGACCAAGTCACCCTTCACTGGTACATGTGAAAGGGGTGAGGGTCTATTAGATCTCATACACACCGATGTGTGTGGGCCCTTTAGATCCACCACAAGGGATGCGAACCGCTTCTATGTGACTTTTACCGATGATTATAGCAGATATGGGTATATCTACTTAATCAAGCACAAGTCAGAAACCTTTGAAAA